GTTCTGGAGGTCTGCAGACGGGGGGGCTTATTTGCATCGGGGTACCCCCTTTAATACCCAGATGCTGCCCCCCTTGTGAATAAGGGGTACTTGTACCCCTATTCATTCACTAAAGGGTTAAATAAAAATAAAAATAAAAAACTCCACACTTTTGAAAAAGTTCTTTAATTGAAAAAACAAAAACATGGTTTTTGACATATCCTTTTATGAAAAAAATTGATCCAACGAGGTAATCGACATCAATCACAGCGTCCAGCATTGCCAACAACACCGCCGACTTGCCAAAATTTAAAAAAGCCTGACGCCCGCCGACCCCTTCACACCTGCCGAACACACGCTGCAAAATGACCTGTTTGACAGGTTCTGGGGAAAAGTAAACAAATGGGTGGAGCTAGCAGTGGCATCCACCGTGGCTCCGCCTATTTATTTTGATTTGGCCGACACTTGTCATATGGGTCGGCCAAATGAAAACAACTGGGCGGAGCCAGTGGTGATGTCACAGCTGGCTCCGGCCAGTTATTGTCATGCAATGACAGCCCAGTGTCCTCAAATGATCTGAGGATGCTGGGCTGTCATTAAATTACAACAAATGGGTGGAGCCAGCCGTACATCAGGCCTGGCTCTGCCCATTTGTTTAAATTTGCAGGGAGAATGGTAAGCTTCAACATATGCTTGGCTGAGCTGTTCACCTGCCTTCGATTGCTGTACGGGATATTGTGAATTGACCATACAGCAGCCCAAAGGGCTCTGACAGCCAAATTGAGCCGAAGGATTAGCGATGCTGCGGCTTAATCTTTCGGCTCAATAGTGAATAACCCTCTAAATAAAATATTCCTAGTTTGTCTTAAGAGTATTGTTTACCAATTTTTAAGAACTTTGTAACACCACATTCCAAATATGTGCAGTTTTGTGCTCCATCTACAAAAAGTGTATTTAAAAGGGTTCAGGGGGATGCAACATCACTAGTTAAATGGATGGATTGAATGGATATATGATATACTGAAAGATTACAGACTGTGCATGTTTCCTATAAAACAGTGTTTCCCAAAATGTGGACCATGGACTACTGGTGTTACATGGTAGAAGTTGGCATTTATAAGGAGCACTCTGTGTAGTCCATAAAAGAGTACCCTACTACTGCATAACCATTCCTAAAATCTATATTTAATGAAAAAGAGTGTTAGCAACAAATATTTACAGAACGAAGTCTGAACAATGTAATTAATATGTACCACAGTCTACATAAAGGACATAGGTAACCCAATTAAAAACTGTATGACACTTATTATGTAAAGGAAAGTAATTGGAATATGACAAAAATGAAGCAACATTAATTGTATTATACTGCATAAGTATAAATGAGAATATAAGTCACATTGC